TCCATAAAACCTTTGAAAAATCTGTCTTCAAATATTTCTTGGCCCAGTCTTGACGTTTCAACTTATGTCTTGTTCAGTGGTGGTCGGGTTTTAACCTCCTTTACATTGGCCATGTTTCTGAGCACTGAACACCTTGTACTTCTGGGAACTCCAGGTAGGTTGCAGTTCTGGAATATGACAGCACTGGAGAACAATGGGTTTCCTGGTAGCTTCACGTTTGACTCTTCTCAAATCTTTGGCAGTTAATTTGCGTCTTTTTTTCTCAACACGTTTCTTGCAACCCTGTTGATTATTTGCAACAAAACGTTTGATGGTTCTGTGATCACGCCCCAATGTCTTATCAATTTCAAGAGGGCTGCATCCCTCTGAAAGACTTTTTACAATTTTTTACTTTTCAGAGTCATTTAAATCTTTTTTTTGGCCCATTTTGCCTGAGGAATAGAAGATGCCTTATAATTATGCACACCTTGATATATAGGGTGTTGATCTCCTTAGTCCACACCCTCCCTCATTGCACAAATACACATCACCTGATATGCTTACATCCAATAAGCATTCAAGTTTATATAGTTGGAGTTGGACAATATGCATAAAAATGATGATTTGGTCAAAATACTACATAGTTGCATAGTTAGTCTGGCTGAAAAAAGACTAAAGTCCGTCCAGTTCAACCATTAAAAAAAATTATAATTCTATACCCACAGTTGATCCAGAGGAAGGCAAAAAAAAAAAAACCCAGCAAAGCATGAGCCAATTTGCTCCTGCAGGGAAAAAAATTCCTTCTGGATCCCCCGAGAGGCAATTGCCTGGATCAACTTTACCTATAAATGTTAATATCCGGTTATATTCTGTGTATCTAAGAAAGAATCCAGGCCTTTTTTAAAGCAATCCATTGAGCTGGCCAGAACCAACACTTGAGGGAGTCTATTCCACATTTTCACAGCTCTCACTGTGAAGAAACCTTTCCTTGTTTGGAGATTAAATTTCTTTTCCTCCAGACGTAAAGAGTGCCCCTTGTCCTCTGTGATGACCTCAGGGTGAATAGCTCTACACCAAGTTCACTATATGAACCACTGATTTATTTATACATGTTGATCATATTCCCCCTTAATCTCCTCTTCTCAAGCTAGCTTAAATTCAGTTCCTCTAATCTTTCCTCATAGCTGAGCTCCTCCATGCCTCTTATCAGTTTGGTTGCCCTTCTCTACTTTCTCCAGTTCCGCAATGTTCTTTTTGTGCATTGGTGCCCAAAACTGAACTGCATATTCCAGATGAGGTCTTACTAATGATTTTTACAGGGGTAAAATGATATCTCTCTCTCTGGAGTCTATACCTCTTTTAATACAAGAGAGGATTTTTGCTTTCTTTAGAAACCGCAGCTTGGCATTGCATGCCATTATTAAGCTTGTGATCTACCAGAACTCCCAGATCCTTCTCCACCATTGATTACCCCAGTTGTACTCTACCCTAGTATGTATGATGCATGTATATTCTTATCCCCCAAATGCATAACCTTACAGTTATCAACATTAAACCTCGTTTGCCACATAGTTGCCCAATTAAACAGTGCATTGAGGTTGGCTTGTAAGTTGGAGACATCCTGTAAGGACGTTATTCCACTGCACAGCTTGGTGCTATCTGCAAAGACTGCAATGGGATTTTTAATCCCATTCCCTATATCGTTTATAAATATATTAAAAAGTAAGGGTACACCACTGACAACCCTAGACCATTCAGAGTATGAATCATTAACCATTAATCTTTGAATACGATCTTTTAGCCAGTTTTTTATCCATTTACATATGGATTATTCCAAGCCTGTAGACTTTACCTTACACATTAGCCATGTGTGGGGAACTGTGTCAAACGCTTTTGCAAAATCCAAGTATACCACATCCACCGCCGCCCTTCTATCCAAGGTTTTGCTCACCCCCTCATAAAGAGAAATCAAATTTGTTTGACAACTTCTGACTTTTCATGAATCCATGCTGTATGTTGCTTAAAATATTTTTTTCAGCAAGAACTAATTTATGTGTACTTTTATTAAACTCTCCAGTATCTTCCCAACTATAGAAGTTAAACTAACAGGTCTATAATTACTTGGTAAAGATTTTGACCCCTTTTTAAATATTGGCACCAAATTGGCCTTACACCAATCCAGTGGTACTATGCCAGTCATTAAAGAGTCCCTAAAAGTTAGAAACAATGGCTTTGAAATGGCAGAGCTCAATTATTTAAGGACTCACTTGCACTCACTTGCATAAAATATGCACACAGTGTATGTCATCTTGACTGAAAGACTGATTTACTCTAGCATCACCCTTATCTGTTTACTGTTCCACACTACTGATGAGTTCAAATGGTGTGCTATTATAGGTAATTTGTACAGAAAGAGTCAATGACTACAGCACATTTTTCAACTGTTTGTTGTCTTCTACTATACTTTGAAAAACCTAATAAGGCTTATTGCATTGGAATGTTAGTGGACATGTACAGTTGTGTTCAAAATAATAGCAGTCAGATATCACTAACCTGATCAATCACTGTTTTTGGTAGAAATGATATTTCTACATGGCAAATAATTTACTAGCAGGTGTAGTAGAGTAATAGAAATCCAACAGACCCAACAGTCATGACATGCATGCTGCTGATTCTGTGTAATTGAATCACTAATTGAAAGAGGCATGTTCAAAGTAATAGCAGTGTGGAGTTCTATTAGAGAGGTCATTCATTCTTTGAAAAACAGGTGGCAATTATTGCCCTTATTTAAGGAAGGCAGCAAATGTTGTACATGCTGGTTACAGTTCAGAAGAACAGCGTACCTTGATTAAAAAGTTGATTGGAGAGGGGAAAACATATAAAGAAGTGCAGAAAATGATAGGCTGCTCAGCTAAAATGATCGCAAATGCTTTAAAATGGCAACCAAAACCTGAAAGACGTGGAAGAAAGCGAAAAAGTACCATTCAAATGGATAGAAGAATAGCCAAAATGGCAAGGACTCAGCCAACAATCAGCTCCAGGAAGATCAAAGAAGGTCTCAAGTTACCTGTGAGTACTGTTACAATTAGAAGACGTATATGTGAAGCCAAGCTATCTGCAAGAAGCCCCCGCAAAATCCCACTGTTGAAAAAAAGACGTGCTGAAGAGGTTACAATTTGCCAAAGAGCACATTGACTGGCTTAAAGAGAAATGGCACAACATTTTGTGGACTGATGAAAGTAAGATTGTTCTTTTTGGGTCTAGAGGCCGGAGACAGTTTGTCAGACGACACTCAAACACTGAATTCAAGCTACAGTACACTGTGAAGACAGTGAAGCATGGTTGCGCAAGCATCATGATATGGTGATGTTTCTCATACTACGGTGTTTGGCCTATATATCGCATACCAGGGATCATGGATCAGTTTGAATACATCAGAATACTTGAAGAGGTCATGCTGCCTTATGCTGAAGAGGAAATGCCCTTGAAATGGGTGTTCCAACAAGACAACGACCCCAAACACACCAGTAAACGTGCAACATCTTGGTTCCAGACCAACAAGATTGACGTTATGGAGTGGCCAGCCCAATCCCGGATCTTAATCCAATAGAAAACTTGTGGGGTGGCATAAAAAATGCAGTTTCTGAGGCAAAACCAAGAAATAGAGAAGAACTGTGGAATGTAGTCCAATCATCCTGGGCTGGAATACCTGTTCACAGGTGCCAGAAGTTGGTTGACTCCATGCAACACAGATGTACAGCAGTTCTTAGAAACAGTGCTAATACAACTAAATATTAAGTGATTCAAAGGAAAGCAAAATCTTCAAACATTTTTCAGTTTATATAGTGAATGTTTGAGTTTGTAAAGAAGAATACAAACACTGCTATTTTTTTGAACAGTCTAATATTCACTTTTCAATTTCTTTAGAGGAACAACACAAATTTTGATATATTTTTCTTCATGTTTTGATTTGGAATAGAATGTGTAGTGTTCCCAATGCATTTGTGTGTCTGGAAATAACCGCTATTAGAAGGATTTTGAGCTTTATTCACTTTTTTCAACATGCTTATTTTGAACACAACTGTATAAGTAAACTATATATATATATATATATATATATATATATATATATTTGAATAAAACCACAAGTGTATGCAAAGATGGCCCAGAACTATTTTTAGCATATTTACAGGTGCATATTTAAATATTTCTAAATCAGTAAAAGCTTTGCAATACAATTATGTGAGTTGTTGCTTCACTTGATTGGTTGACTATATCCTTTAGTCTTAATCTACCTGTTATTTATAGTTTAATAGAAAGCTGGTGCTGCATGGGTGTTTACAGTAAAGGCCCTTTCACACTGGAACACGCAGTGCGGGAAACCCGTGCTCCAGTGCAGTTTTCTGCACCGCATTCCAATCACTGGTGTCAATACAAAGTTAGGGACATCCTAAACACAGGTCGCAAATGCAGTGCGTTTGCCTGCACCAGATCTCATGGTACAAAAATACCATGTGATCTGGTTGTAGTGCGTTTTGAAAAAGTAGTGCATGTGCTACTTTTGGTGTGGTGCAGTTTCAGCCCGTTCAAAATGAATGAATACAGGGACAGGTCGGGTTGAAAACAGATGTGCATATGGACATAATAGTGAAGGAATTCAAATGGAGTTTCACTTAGATAAGTAGTGGAATATTTGGTGTTTTGCTTTTTTTTTTTTGTTTCTGTTTTTTCTTTGAAAATCACAGTTTATTACTTTTAATTGAAAAGGTTTGTGTGAGCTTTGCAATAACAGTTGCTTAATTTAAATACATTCTGTTGCAGACGTAGCTGACTTGCCTTGGGAATAGATCATTCAAAGTAGCAGTTACATCATTTTAGTAAATTGTGCTACATCAAAATGTTGTCGCTTTTTCAACCCATACTCTTTAAAGAAAAAAAAAAAATGATTCTGCCATTGTCTGCTAAAAGATTATATGTCCATGGGACTTATGTCTAATTGTGTATTTTCATCTCCACCACAGGTGATGATGACTTTGAAGCACTAAAAGCCAAGAATATCAAGCAGACCGCATTGGTTGCAGATCTGCGGGAAGCCATCCTGCAAGTTGCACGTCACTTCCAATGCAGTGACCCTAAAAACTGCAACATTGTGAGTCAAACTTGAGTGTATTCTTGTCTGCGTTACAGAGATGTTACTCAGCTAACCCTTACACTAATATATTATGGATTAATAACTTATATTGGAAGAAAATGGCTATTGTTTACCAAATTTGATACTTTTACAGAGGCCCTGTCATCGCTAAAATCACAGTTTTTTCCTCCATGGAGGGACACAGGAATTCAAATAATGTTTGGTTATACTGCCACCTACAGGGGTATGGGACGTGGCAAACAAAAAAATTTGTGGGCCAGTCCCAGGCTAACCCTCTGTTTACCACGCATGTCTCGGTTTTTCACTAGTGTCTTAGGAGGATGAATGTATGTTCCTCAGCTTTGTTAGTTCATGAGTCCATTTAGGCTCATTTCCACTGGTGGGTATCTTTCTCTAGTTCTTGTTTTTTTTTTTTTTGGTTCTTTTTTTTTTACCATGAATTTTTTATTGAGAAAAATCTTAAAAGGTACATTAACCACTTGCCTACAAGGCACTTATACCCCCTCCTTACCAGGCCAATTTTCAGCTTTCAGCGCTGTCGCAATTTGAATGACAATTGTTCGGTCATGCAACATTACACCCATATGAAATTTTTATCCTTTTTTTCTCACAAATAGAGCTTTCTTTTGGTGGTATTTACTTGCCGCTGGGTGTTTTACTTTTTGTGCTATAAACAAAAAAACAGCAAAAAATTTGAAAAAAAAAAGTTTATTTGTTTCTATTATAAATATTTGCAAACAGGTAATTTTTCTCCTTCACTGATGTGCATTGATGAGGCAGCACTGATGGACACTGATAGGCAGTACTAATAGACACCGATAGGCAGCACTAATGAGGCGGCCCTGACTGGCGCGATTGGCGGCACTGCTGGGGGGCACTGACTGGCGACACTGCTGGGCTGCACTGATGGGCACAGGTGGGTGGCACTGCTGGGAACTTGTGGGCAGAACTGGTGGGTGGCACTGCTGGGCACCGATCATCAGGGCACTGATCATCAGTGCCCTGATGATTGGTGCCGATTCCTGCTCTGACAACTTCCGGTTCTCGGCAGCACTTTCCTCACACTCTGACAGCGTGAGGAAAGTGCAGCCGAGAACCAGCAATTGCATTTCCCAGTGATCGGCGTTTCATTGGACACGGCTGATCACGTGGTAAAAGGCCGCTGTGATTGGCCTTTTACCACATCACGTGATCAGCTGGGTCATATGACACCCTCCCAGAACTGGCCGGCCGCAGTGCAGCTGTCATTCGGCTATCTGTGGTTGGCAACTAGTTAAGCTTCAAGAATACGTATAAAACATACAGAATATAGCAATGCAAATAAGTTGCACAATATAAACCAAAGAATTTTCAATTGTTGATCATTAGGCCCTTTGATGTGGCGGTTGTCACCTGTCACACCTACTTGGGATCACACTGTGATCAGGTTCCAACCATCTCATGCAGTTTTAGGCCTTTTTGCCCATCTAGGGTTCTAACAGAACTAGCAATCTATCAACCATAAACCAGATGCATTATAAAAAAATAGGTCTTAAAGTTAATAATTAAAGAGGTATAAAAATTACCTCTCAAGCTGTCCATCAATCCTTAATTATATATAAAATGTTAATAGCTACTCCACTAGGTCTAGAATTATTTAAACTAACATCATAATATCATAGTTGTGATGTGGCAAGAGACATTGCGTGTTCATTTTTGGTGGAGCTGGTGATTTCAATCCTTAGTTATAGTTATCCGGGCCGCAAATAGAATATGTGCTGCTACAGTTCTAGCTGCGGGGGGGTGGAGTGACTTCAGTTGTATACTTAAACGCTCTAGAGCTGAAGTAAAAGGTGTATATGTATCAGTAACGTCAAATATGAGTAGGGAGACTTTTTTCCAAAATTCCTGTAAGATGTCACATCCCCACAGGATATGTAATAGGTTGCCCTTTTTATTACAATTTCTCCAATAAAGTGGGGATGTCTCTGGGAGAAATGTATGTAGTCTCATAGGAGTCATGTAGCACCTATGTAATATTTTCTGTGAGTTGTCCCAATGCTCTATACAGGCTGAGGAACTGCAGTTGATCTTTATTGCTTGCATCCATTGTGCTATAGAAAATTTGTGTTTCAATTCCTTTTCCCAGTTTAGCATGGATTGCGACTTTTTATCTAATGAATGCTGAACAGTATCTATAACAAAGAGAGATTCCTTTGAGCTTCTTAGATGATTTACTAGCGAGGAAATCCCATATTTGCTGGGGTACCAATATCCTTTGGGTTGGGTTGGGTTATTTTTTTGAAAGTGTCTGATTTGATTAATGTTATATATTTCAGCTACATCCAGTTGGCCTAAGTCTGCCCAATTAAAGTGTACTCCCTTCTCTGCCCATTTCTGGGTAGAAAAATGTGGGATAAAAGTGTTACTAAATCAACAACAGTAAAATCAGTCTGTATATGCAGTAAAGCATACTTGTTATACTCATTGTGGAACCTAAGGGGTTAATCCTCTGCATTGTGTAAAAAGGCTGTTTGATCCTGATTTCTCTGCTCCTCCTCTTCAAATGTCCACATCTTATCTCCTGATAAGACCAACTGAATCGTAGCTATTCTGCACATGCTCAGTTTAGTGTGTATTGCTGGGGAGGTTTTTTTTTTCTTGGGAGAGTGCATGTGATCAGCACAGGGCCAATCAGCACTGTCCAGACAGAGGTCAAGGGATTTGCATCGTTCTAGAGCAGAAAGAAAACTCCTCCTACAAGCTTTAATCAGTGCTCTGCTGAACACTGATAGAATTCACACGACTGCTCTAACTGCTGATGAGAAAAGGTATTTAGCAGTTTATATATACTAAAATAATTGCACTTCCATGTTCTGTGTACTGTGGGAGTCCAGATACAGTGAATGCAGGTTCCGGGGTTTAGTAACACTTAGAGATACCTCTTTGAGCATATTAACACTCAATTTTAAACAGCGAGAACCACACTGATAGTGTTGCATTAATCTTATCTGAGGTTATCTGAGAATATGGTTTGTGATGAAGGCACGCTGCCGTCATGAGGGCAAACAGATCGTTCCCAGGTGTTATTCCCTTTTCAGTTCTACTCCTAGTTTGTCATCTTGGCTAGAAATCCAGTAGTGCATCTGATTCAAGATGCTTAGGAACATATAATGTAGAGAGCGCCACCCTAGTTTTTTTCCCTGCCATTTATATTTCCTCAATAGATAAGCCAGCCAGGAGAAAAATAGTGATGGGATAGGTATAGGAATTGATCTAAAGTAATACAGCAATTTAGCCAATATTTGCATTTTATAGGTGCAATTTGCCCTATCCATGAATTTTACCTATTTGTGTCAACTCATGTGCAATTTATTCTAGGAGTTTGGAGGAAATTTGCGTTATAAAGTTTGGAAATAGGGAAAGTTAACTGTATTCCCAGGTATGCAATTGAGGGAGATATCCAATTACACGGAATTATCTTACTGAGTCTTTTGCTTTTTGCTGGAGGGATACCTATAGGAAGTGCAAAGCATTTAGCAGTGTTTACTTTATAGTAGGAGAGTCTGGCAAATTTTAACAGCCTCTTTTGTACCATAGAGAGAGAGCTTTCTGGGTTAAAGTCAAAATTATATCATCCGCATATAGTCTTGGTATGAGCTCCTTTTTCCCCACTTTAATTCCAGAAATTAATTTGTTGGTTCTAATGAATTCTGCTAAGGGTTCAAAAGTCAAAGAAAAAATTATTGGGGAAAGTGGGCATCCCTACCTAGTCCCATTAGTTAATTTGAAACTGTCTGACAATGTGCCTTAAGTAAAAACCTGTGCAGTAGGATGAGTGTAGAGAGACATAAATGCTCAATAAATGAACCCCGAAATTCTGAAGTTTGACTTGTTCAGCAAAAATTCCGCAAACCTTTTAAGATTAACCATTTTTTTAGTCCCATCTGGCGCTTGACTGCCTTTCACAAATCCTACTTGATCTAACCCTAGTAAGAATGGTGTCACCTCCATCAGTCTGTTTGCTAATATTTTAGCATATTTTTTAAGATCCAAGTTTAACAATGAAATGGGGTGAAAGTTCTGAGAAATGGGAGGGTCTTTCCCTGGGTTTGGGAGAGTAATTATGATAGCCTGTAGTATCTCCTTTGGAAAGGAGCCTAAGCTTGCCATTTCATTATAGAGCTCAGTGAGATGTGGGGTGAGAACTTTATCAAAGGTTTTGTAATGTTTCACTGAGAAGCCATTAGCCCCTGGAGATTTATGCAAGGGTAATTGTTTGATAACCATCAAGACTTCTCTAGGAGTAATAGGTTGGTTAAGTTGATAGAGCGTTTCTGCGCTAACTGAAGGTAGATGCATCTGGGTAAAGAAATCTGCAATATCTGCTTCAGAGGGTTGTTGAATTTAAGGGTCCCTTTGGAGATTATATAAGGATTTGTAATAATCCGCAAATGCATTTGCTATTTCCTATGGATTATTAAAGATAGTAATTTTTGTAATGTCTGAGAGAAGCCAATTTGGTTTGCGCCTGACGTTGTTTCAATTGTTGTGCCAGTAATTTGCCTGATCTATTACTCTTGGACTAGTATTTTTTTGACATTTTCAAGCATTTTAGATATATATCATATACAGAAATTAAGGCTTGCTTCAGTTCTGTCCTATAAACAGTAAGTCTAGCTGGGAGGTCTGCCAAAGTAGACGGATCTTTTTTATGTGCAGCCTCTAGCTCAGCGATTTCTTGAAATATTTTAGATATGTTTTGCTGTTTACGCTTTTTTCCCCTAGAAGACAATTGTATAAGTAAACCCCTCATGTAAGCCTTATGGGCACACCAGACCGCAGATGAGGAACTGGACCCTAGGTTATTGAGTTTAAAAAAATGCCTTGATTTGACCTTCCAAGATAGAGCTGTGTTGGGGTTGAGATAAATGGAAAGTATTTTTTTGCCACAGTGCCCTACTTTGGCTTTTGTGTGAATCCTCTATTTCCAGTGTAATAGGGGCATGGTCAGACCA